ACAATATATTATTGTTCGTATACTTTACTTACTAATAATATAAGTATTGTAGTACTTATACTAATAATTATCTCATACTAAACCTAACTTATTATTATATATATATATATATATATATATATATATATACATTTTTATGTTTCTTTTCATGATTTTTTTTGCCCATTCTAAGAGTTGCTTTTACTGATATGACCTAATGCAAACAGGGTAACCTTAACTTTGAAACAAGAATGATACTTTCTAGTGCAAAGTGATTTAATTAAGCCTATCTCAGTGTGTTCCACTAAAATCTTTTTCTTTCTATCGTTCTTCAACATCATAATTTAACTGAAGTATAAAATAATAAATCAAGCTTTTTGCCAGCTTCATAAAAAATCAGTACTGTAATTATAGCAGAAGTCATTCTCAAACACTATTAAAGAGATAAGCTTTTATCATTTTGTTTCAACCACTGTCCAAGTCTTCATTGAACTGAAAATCTTATCAACTTTTTCAGTTGTAAAGAATGGGAAATGTTCTTTCATGATTTGTTTAGATCTGTAGACTATGACTTCTCAAAGCAGAGATATAAGCAATTATATCACACCATGACAACCGAGGTTGAGAAACAGTGGTTGGCTAAAAATTGATAAAACTACACTTGCATTCAAGTTACAAGAACAAATTAGCACTATTTTGTTCAAAACTACTATTGTGACTTTCCTTCTAGAGGTGTATCATGCCCAGAAAAAATTCTGGAAAGTCATGAATATCAATGATTACTTTTGGAGCATGCTGAAATTAACTCAAAATCAACATTTGCAAGATTGTTTTAAATTTTTATGTATAAAATTTAATTAATACCATATATGTCTGAAAATAATGTGCTCCAAAATATAATGCTCACCCAAATTTGAAAGGTTAAATTGTAGAAAATTTGTGTTTTTACACATCAGTTGTACAAAATGTATTGAATAGTTTCTAAATATAGTAAACAACTATCAATGTATTAAACAATTTTGGAAATCTTTCATTAAAATTTTACAAAATGTATTGAAAAGTTTATTCATGGTAATACACTAAGATAATCATTCATCTTCGCATTAATCTTCATCATCACTAGAATTGTTGCTACCATCTCATTCATCGGATTTGCTTCCTTGAACCTTTGCTTCATCCTCCTTTGATTCCCACAGCATGTCATCATCCATTGGATTGGATATGCAACATTTTTTTAAATCTTTAATGATGTGTTAATGATTTTCAGTGGTAGATTCTAATAAAATACCTAGCAAAATTGAACGTGCACAAATATAATGCACAGTTCATTTTTTGGGAGGTATTTGGAGAAAAAATAGTGCACATATTTGTGCAAATATGGTAAAAAAAATTTGTATTTAGTTTGAACTGTGAAGTTTTTTGTTTTTGAATGGGAGTGAAAAAGAAATACAAATTTGTTTTCTGTATTTTCTTAATTTAATGGTGCAATTTTTTCCTTGAGGTGGACTGCTTCTGTCATAAATGGAAAAACAGATTTCAAATAGTTTTCATATTTATTCTATCATTAATATGGCATGCGACTTTCTTTAGTCTTAGCCATTGTTTACTTATGTATATTCTTTTGAAATCCTCATTCATCAGTATATTATAATCATATTTTAATTTTTCTGGAAACTATACTATTATACTGCTAATTGTTGCACTGTGGGCATGCATGCCTGTTTGTCTAGTTGTACACCTATTATCATTGTTGCTTAATGTAACTATTATTTTGTTAAATGAACATTTACGTTGCATTTCATCAGATTTTTTAACAAGCATGAATTTATTATATTTAGTGTTAGTGTCAGACTTTCAGAATAAATATCAGAAATAATGGATATACATAAAATGGGCTTATACTTTATGGTCAGAGTAAAAGGAGTTTATTTTTGTAATTTTACTGATTTGAGAATAAATAAAAGTCTGATATACTTTAGGTGAAGATTATATCTGGGGAACTGGAAAAATTGGAATAAAATGTGAAGGTAAGCTAGCCATTTTCACGAAAATTAATCTGGGTGTATATTTACAAAATAATTATTGGAGAAATTGCTGTGTGACTGAAAGACAGTTAAGGTAAAAAAAATGATGATTTCTTTAGTGCCCCATATATTTTATTGTTTTGTAAGAACTACTGTGTTGTTATTGAATGTAGTTATTGAATACAGAATAATTGTTGTTTAAAACTAAAGTAAAGAGGGGTAAGTAAATGGGAAAATTTTAGAATACAAGTGTAGATAAACACAATAAAAGATTTCTTTAGGTAAAATTAAGGCAGCATTATACTTGTATTTTTTATTTTTGAAATTAAGTTGCTTATGATTAAGTTATAGCTAACAATTTATAATTTTTTTCACACCCTTCATTAAGAGTGTCAAGGAGTGATTGTTCAGAGTTTCAGTGCTTTTTTTTCTGAATGCCTGCTGTATGGTAAGTATGTGTTATTAAGGAAAAGATATAACACCAATAAATACAGCTCAGATATTTTCATTTAATTAATCTTGACCTTCTTCATGAAACATTTTCAGAAATGACTAGATACTGGATACATGAAATCTAAAGACAAACCACTATAAAAAAAAACTTTTCTTTATGCAACACATACATATCAGTTCTAATTTTTAGTTGTATTTAATCAAAAGTATTTTCACAGTGGATGTTACCAATATATTTGTATAAATGAAAGTACCTGTATCCAAATAAATGACATCCATGAAATCATCTGTTTGATTAGTCGTATACAAGTTCTAATCAATAAGATTATGAAAACCATGTTTAACTTCAGATTAGTACTTCCTGTGGGCTTAAATGCCCAGTTTGAGAACAAAAAGGATGAGGTTTACTATGATGTATACTTAACATAAATGTTTGTCTGAAAAATTGAGACTGAGTAGTGTATCTAACTTTGTATCTCGTGTGGAGACGAGACAATAAAATATTTTGTCTGACTTGTGCTAGACATATATAAATAATAGTAGCAGTATGTTGGTATAAAGAAATAAAAAGGTTCACTTCTAATATGATACCTTACTTCTGCTCACATAATAGCTTTTCTTGTTCAGTATTGCTCTTTGTATGTGCTTTGATACTCACACCTATCCCTATGTGTTTACACGTGATACAGCTGAGCTGTTGTATGCAATAGGAGTGCAATGCACTCCCTCTGTACTATAGAGCAAAATTTTCACTTCTCAATTTGGCATATTAGAATGCAGTCGTATCTAATTTTCTCTTGTGTTTGCTTAAATGTTTTTTTTCTGCAGATTTTCATTGTTTTCAGCTTATTAATTTTTCTTCTCTATATTAACTGGATACTGTAGGTTTATCTGAAAATTCCCACTTTCAGTTTGAATTATAAATGCACAATTTCATGTTTCAACAACTAATACTATTGTTACTATTGCCATTGCACCTCAACCTGCTGTTTTTAAGACTTCGAGCTCCACTCTTTCTGCTTAGGAGGTTTCAGCCTTAGTTCGCTTTCAGTTGGAGTCCATCATGTGGCCTACTGTGTCTTCTGACCCAAGACCAGACATACCATTTCCTGGGGAACCTGGTGAGGATAACGAGGATTTGAATTGTCTGTTCCCACCTCCTTTCTTCACCGTGCAATCCCATCACACCTGTGGATGCTCTGAGACCTTCTTCTGTTTTCTTTGATATGGTGTCTTAGGTATGTTACCTATTGTCTGTATTCCCTGTGTCTTATGATTCTTCTCCTTCCCTCCTGCATGCCTCTTCTTAGATTACCTTGTTTTCCTGCCCTCTCCAGTTTCCAGTACAATTACATTCTGGGATCAACATGCCTATGCATTAGCATACCATAATTTGAAATTTCCTTCTCTAGACTCTCAGAAGTTAAGATTATCTGATTCAGGTATGAGGATCTGACCCTGATATTACTGTGAGGCTAATTTTCCCATCTCCAGTTGACCCTCATCACTCCTCTATCCATCTCCTATCTGATGCTATCCACCATTCCCCTGAGGATATTTTGGCAGAATGTTGGTGCACTTGTCTTCCTCTACCCATTCCCTACAAACTTGGCTCCTCTGTTGTTGTGATCTCTTGGGTAGGGATGTGCTTTTATCTCATGTGCACCTGCCCACTTCTTATTTGCATGACCTTCGTATGGCTCCATTTTTACCCCAGTCAGTCTATAGAGATCTTCTTGGCTCGTTGGAGCCCTTTCTGCCTTGATCTCTAATCTTTTTGTAGCCTTCACCTTTCCCCATTCCTGTATCTTGCCATCTTCCTTCTCCCTTGCCCGTTCATCTCTCCTGGGTCTCTCGCTGCCAACAGTATCAGTAACTATATCATCAATTCTGGCACAGTTGGAGCATGTTTGGCCATTTTTGTTAATCTATGGACCACTTTCACCATGGATCATTGGGTGTTTCATGTGTTAACTAACAGTTTCTATCTTTGTTTTCTAACCCCACTTCCATTATCACCACATCTCATTTCCTTCCCTCATTTTCAGGATCTACTTTCCTGTCAGCATCTATCTGAATCAATTTGGGATCTTCACAAGGACGCTATCGAATTCATCAGTCACTCTTCTCTAGGGTTCTCTTTCTGGTTGTTCATAGGTCCCAAGAAGACAGGGAACTGGCATCCTGTTATAAATCTCTTCAGTCTCAACTGTTTCACATGGACCTTCCTTGTTTCACCATGGAATCCTTCCTTACTCTTTGGTGGGCATTTATACCAGATCAGATAACAAAGGGAGACATCTCTAATGCTTACCCTCACATTCCTATTTCCCCTAACATTCAGACATTACCTTTGTTTTGTCCACAAAGGTCGAATATGTCAATTCTGTGCTTGCTCTTCTGCTTGGCCTGGCTTCCGCACCCTACGTATTCTGTTTGGCGTTCAGGGCCTTTGCTTGTCCTCTTCATTCTCACAGTCCATTGCAATGAATATTTCACATGCACACACATTTAATTCTCCAAAAGGCTGCTTATGTGGGTTGGCTAGTCAATTTGGAGAAGTCCTTTCTCATCCTGACCCAATACCTCATCCATTTGGGAGTGTCCTTCAATCATCATTTTCTCTCACTGCACATGAGGTTCTATCTCTTTTGGGGAGTTAAGCTTCTATGGAAGCCCTCATTCTTTTGGGTCATGCTCACATGCTTGCTCTTAAGTGGGTGTTGCATGATGAATTGAATCTTCTCAAAATCTCCTGGAATCTGTTGTGCTCTCTCTCTCACACTCCATGTCGATATAACCAGGTGACATGACAGTGACAGCACCATAGCTGGCATTTCTCTTCTGCCTCCTTGTCCTCTAAGTTGCATCTTTTTACAGACACTTCTTTAATGGGTTGGGGGTCGTTTATGGATTTCCAGTGGATTCCAGGTCATTGGATGAATCAGCTCTGCACATAAGTCTTCTGGGGCTATTTGCCAATTGTTTAGTTTTGGTCATTTCCCACCTTTGGTATGAGGCAAATTGGTCATGATCTATTCTGATAATTCAACCATTGTCTTTTACATCAATCAACAAGGGGCACCCGTTCATGTTCCTTTCATTTTCAAATGTTGAAACTCCTCTTTTGGGCCCATTTATATCACATATACCTACTGGCATATCATATCCTGGATGCTCTGGATCTTGTTCTTGATTGCTTGTCTTGTGCCATCAAGATTCTCCACACATATATCCTCAGGTGTTTAGGTGGTTGTGCACCTAGTAGGGTACTCCACTTCTGGATGCATTTGCCACCCACCTCATTTCCAAACTACCCCTCTTTTGGTACCTGGTTCCACATCCTTTTTGCTCTGGCAATAGATGCTTGCAATCAGGATTGGTCCAACCTTTACCTTATGTCTATTCTCCTACCTGCCTCCTACCCTGGGGTTTTATCCCTTTTCCAAACCACTCTGTGTTGAGTTCTTCTCATTGCCCCTTTTTGGCCTCCCCAATTGCGGTTTCCAGTCATCCCTTCTGTTACCACTTCCACCAATTCCCTTCACTGGTAACCTCAGTCATCTGTGTGTCATCCTGTCATCGTCACACTCCAACTTCACGCATGGTATTTGACTAGTCCCTTGTGAGGCAGTCTGTACTCTCCACATGTGTAGCATTCCATCTTTCCCAGTCAGTCTGTCCTTTGTCCTTCATGGCTTATCAGCACAAATGGCACATTTTATGCCATTGTTTTCTGCACTGTGGTTACCTCACTTCTTTTCCTAGTGTTCCTCACATTTCAGAATATTTTACCTGGATGTTTCACAATATATCTTCTGTGTCTACCATTGATGGTTATCAGACAGCTTTATCCAATACTGTCATGATATAAAAGACTGTTTCATTCAAATAGTATTGATTAATTTAGTTTTGTGAGTGAATGTTTTATTATTGATTAGTTTTTGTTGTAATAAGAGTTAAAAGCAGATGATTGTAGAAAGTTTTGTTAATAATTCATTGATGTTGAGAATATTGAATGTCACGTGCAGTATATTGATGTTGAAAATATAGAAGTTGGACAGACGATTAGGTAATAAAGATATAAATAGTGTGAGATGAGTGTGAAGCAGCAGACAGACAGAAGGAGACAGATGATAGCAAAGAGAATAAAGTTGGTGTGAAGTTAACTACTGTAGAAGTGATAAGCCTAACAATTGACATAGGCGTAACGTTTCATATGTTAGAGTGAACCTAACAGTAGAAAAGAAGATAAGAAAAATAATTTTATTCTATCAAAGTGTGGTTCTAAATTGAATCAACCTTTGACAGAAGGAACAGAGGATCTTCAAAACAAAGAAGACCAACAATTATGGTAACTCGCGCCACAATTGTAATTGAATCACAGAGAATACTAGTGTGATACAAATAGAGAAGATAGTTCAGCTTTTCAACTGAAATTCTAAAGTAATTGAATAGGCCTAAGTGAATATTTGACAAGAAGGAGAAAACTACATATATAGAATTTATGATATGTCCATAATAAATGTTGAAGAATTTATTGTACATAC